TTTGATTGATTTCATTGAATCCAATGCCAAAGAGTTTGAAATTAATGTCATTCAAAACAGTAATGATTGCAAACGTGTGGACACTTATATTGATGTCAATTCGGATCTGCTATCACTTGAAATGCGTCTAAATCTTCAATTATTTTATACATTTGGCGAAGAAGTGAATGGTTTGGTCGGAAAAGTGTATTATTTGGACAAATCGTTGGTTATTGTATCAAAAGTGGCCGAAATAGACCCACAAAATGATATATTCTTCAAAATCACAACAAATGATTTGAAGATCTTTTGTCAATGTTATGAGAATTGGATAATTGATCTGTTCATCCATTTGGACGATTTGGTCACATTTGATGCCAAGTTTGTCAAACAAACACCAATTGCCGACAACATTAACCCAAGACCTACTGTTGAGCCCTATTCTTGGTTTGTGACCAGAATTACAAGTGTTAGACATTCCGCCGCCTGTTATGTACCAAAACCTCAACCAAACCGTTTCTCAACCCATATCTCCACCACTTGTTATTAGCGCTAATATTTCTCATATTTTATTATATTTATCTATTATTTTATACATTTTATTCACTCTTTAAATATTTGCAATTTATTATATTTTAATTTTTAGTGAAATTTTGTTATTCAGTTGGATATGAATTTTTAATATTGTATAAAAATTTATATTTTAAATATTCATTATATTTAGCCTAATATGTAAATACATATTAAAGCTGTTTAAATATCGAATTGAAGTTTAAAAACTTAATAATAGTCTATATATTTTATGTTAATTTAATGTTATACAGTGTAATACAACACAAACGTCGAGTACTTTTAAACCTAATACTTTTATTGTTCACATCAGTTTTATTTTATTCTTATTTTTATTAATATTTATTTATTAAGTGATATATTTTACTGTATTTGACTTAACTTTCAAATAAACATTAAACAAGAAATTAAATAATAAAATTATTTATGATCTTATTGTTTATAATTGAAATAATAAATTCAATGAATGCTTCAAATCTCATAGAAAGTATTTATATGATCGGTGAACAAACAAATCAAATGACAACCATTTATAAAATGAATTCAAATTAATTCATTATAATCGCTACAAATTCGTCTAATTTATAATTGATTATTGTCAAATACAATTAATTAAATTTCAATTTAATTATCTCTTATTATAACTATTATCATGATCTCAACGATTAAAATATTAGTTTTTATGATTGTACTGTAACTTCTGTTTATATACCTATAGAACAGTACATAAGATTACAATTATAACAATGTTTTTATTAAATTGATAAACGTATTCATCGCGTAATTTGAAGTTTTATTAAATGAAAACAAAATTGTATTCAAACACAAAGTAAAAATTGTTTGAATCGGTTTCATATATCGTACTGAATTACAATTCATCATAACTAAAAACTTGTATTTTATTAATTACAACTAAAATCCTAAATTTTAATTCAATGGACAAGTTTTCGCAACAGTTCTGCGGATCACTATTTTGGGTAATTTTATGAATAATATTTTTAAAATATATTAAAACTAATGAAATAATACATTTAAGGATTCGGATCTCACCTGGTATTCAAATACACCTGACTTTACAGTATGTTTTCAGGAAACAGCACTCGTTTTGTTTCCTTGTATTTTCTTATGGATTTGTAGTTCGTATGAAATCTACAGAATTATTAAAACATCTCATAATAATAATAATACAATTCCTTGGAATGTATTAAATGTGACTAAAATTGTGAGTTTATTTACAGTATATTTTTCTCAATATATTTATTCATCGTATAAAACATATCTAATTTAATAAAAATCTTATATAGTACTTTTATTCACAACTGTTTAAAACCCTTTAAATTTGGCATTAGATTTATTTTTGTCACTTAAAAACTAATTGTGATTAATGTTTACATATCTATCATTGAATTGTTTAATTTAATATTGGATTTGCTTTAAATTCACTTAAAATACATTTATTTAACTTTATTTTTAAAAAAGTATTAAAAATACCAATTATTTTAAATATGTTATTTATATTTGAAAATATTTCAAACCAAACATTTAAAAAAAGCATTCAGTGAATGCCATTCACTGTTATATCAAAAACTTCAAATACACGATATCCACAAAACCTCTCTCTCTCTCTCTCTCTCTCTCTCTCTCTCTACAGTACTGTCCTCGCCCATATACTCAATTAACCAGTTCAGTATTAGTGGATTAGCATATGGTAAAAAACTGAGAATAAACTTCAAAACCGCCATCAAAACCTCTCTCTCTAAATAATATTAAGATTATTAATTGTTGATTAATTTGTATATTTAATTCAAAAATTAATTTTTCTTAAATACATTTTTTTATTTTAATAGATATTATCAAATATATTATTGATATTAAGTTTGTGTGATTCAATTCATGGATTTATTTCACTAAAACGTTGGCCGGAAACAACATATCCAGTCATTTATATCACTTCTATTATTAAAACAATTTCTTTCGTAAGTCTTAATAAAATTATATTTTGAATTAAAAAATATAACATTATATTTATAATAATAGCATCTAATGTCCAAAAATAGGCTGTTGTGATAGTTATTCAATATTTCAGTCGTTTGCGAGGACTCAATAGATCTGTTGTCTTATTCTTGTTTTGGTTATTTATGTCAATTGCCGGAGCAGTCATTTACCGATCGCTATTTATTTTCACATTCGCCGATGTATTTCATACTTATTCTTAATTATATATCAATCAAATCATATTTAAACTAAACATATAAATGTCTTTTCTATATATAAGGGAAAATATGATGGGATAACAAGTGATTTTCGGTTTAGCACTAAACTAGCGTTCGTTCCCATCGTTTTCATACAATTATTTCTTTCGTGTTTCGCAGACTTTAAATCACAAAAACGAAAGCAAACAAAAGTCAGTATAAGATTTAATATTAAAAATCAACTAATATTTGCAAACAATATAAACAATTCAAAAATAATGAAATATCTATTATATTGAGAATGAGAGTCCAGAATCGAGTGCTTCGGTGTTGTCTGTACTGACATTTTGGTGGATGAATGCAATGATACTAAAGGGCTATAAAAGACCGCTTACTAAACATGATTTGTGGAAATTGGATATCGAAAATACAACTAAATATAATTCAGATCTATTTAGCAAACGATTGAAACAAAAACAAAGTCAAAGCATTAAATATAAAGGAATTCTTATAACACTTCTCACCACTTATTGGTTTTATATGGTTTTGATGGCGGTTTTGAAGTTTATTCTCAGTTTTTTACCATATGCTAATCCACTAATACTGAACTGGTTAATTGAGTATATGGGCGAAGACAGTACTGAACCCGTATGGCGAGGATATCTCTATGCAGTCCTCATGTTTATAGCACCGATGATTGAATCAATTCTCACGAGTCAATACGATTTAGGCATCGGAATCATCACTCTTAGGATGAGGTCGTGTTTAACAAATGCTATCTATAAGAAGGTAGAAATTTGTGTGAAATAATGCAATAAAATGATTAATATTGAAAATTGTTTCACTAATCAGAGCCTTCGATTGTCGAGTACCGGACGTAAAGACTTCACAATTGGCGAAATAGTAAATCTAATGGCTATCGACACGTCCAGAATAGTAGAGTTCGTTCAAGTGATTAACGAGACCTGGTCTTCACCCCTTCAGATCGCAATTGCATTGTATTTATTATGGCAACAGTTGGGCATCGCATCCATTGCCGGTATGTCTCACAACATAATTGTTGACAACACTTCAAAATACTTTAACATCATTTTAGACATTTTTAACCATAAAGACATTGAACACATATACAGGTTTGGGAGCAATGCTAATCCTAATCCCAATTAATGGTTATATTACTGGCAAA